GCTGTAAAAAACCCTACTGAGAGGAGAAATGTACCGAGCCGAGCAAGACGACTAAACGAGAGCTGCTAATGTCTTGTGACGTCCACGGCCTACCCCAGTTACCACTACTGTGCATGTGTGTCAACGACAGAAAGGCAGATGTGGCAGTGGAAGGTGTCAAAGCAGTTTGGAGAGAAAAACAAAGTAAAAAACAAAAAAAAACGATTAATCGATTATTAAGTTAGTCGTCGATTAATCGCGGCAGCCCTAGTTCACACTACTAGATTAAATTATTACAGGACATGGAGGCTTTTTGTTTCAGCGGGCACCCTCATCCCCCTCCTGCTGGAACGACTGGGCGCACCACTGCGACTGGAAATATTTTTAAGGCGCACTATTAAAAAATAAAGTCACATTTGCGACCAAATTAGTCTGAATGTAGAGCCCTGTCATGTACCAAGCATGTTGGGGGGCAGGTGGGCTGAACTCTGAACTACAGAAGCCCCAAAGAGTGCACTGGTGAAAAAAAAAATCTCAATTTTCCCAAAAGTAAATCTTTATAAACAGCAAATTTGAATTAATCGACTAAATCGATTTATCACCCAGCCCTAGTCCCAATGTAAAAGGGGGCTTTGAGTAGATTTGGGGGGACTTTTATGCCTTCAGGTGTGGGGACCGACTGGTTTCATATGTTAATGTCTGTCCTTTTCTAGGATTAAATTAGTCTGAGGTTGAGGACTGAGGACTTGTCAAACAGTGGCTTCATTTGAAAATAATTTGTTTAAAATCAAATGTTTACATCTTTTTCTAGCCTAGAATAAGTCTAACTGTATTTTTTGTCTTGTTTTCAGGAGTCTACAATCAGAGTTTCTCAAAATGAGTGCTGCCTCGTCCCAAAAAGTTGTCCTGAAAAGCACCACCAAAGTGTCTCTAAACGAGCGGTGAGGCGCCACGCACCCTGTCAGCTGTTAGTCACCAGAAGCGAAGGCCGCCCTTGGCTTTTTGTCATTGTAGTCCTCTCTACGCAAAGCTGCTGTGGGGGGAACCGGACCCAACATGGATGCAGTTCTGGCTGTTCCCTGTGTGTGCACTGCTCACTCAACTCTGTTGGCCCTGGCACCGTTTGTTAACACCTCAGCAGGTGGGCGAGGCGTAACGGTGTGGGGCAGCGAGGGTCTGTCCAGGCCACAACCTTTGTGTGAGCAGTGCACACATGCAGACAAGGGCAGAGGGTAGTGGTCACGCTTGGTAAGCAGTTTTAATCCTATGCTGGACCAGACCACTGTCCTAAAAGGCCTAGAAGTGCTTGCTCCTTGTTACACAGCGCTGTATAAGTTTGTGCCTTTCAAAGGAGCAGGGAGATGGTGCATCTCCTTATTCATTACAGCTTCTGGTTTTTCTCTCTCAACCTTGTGGATGAAGCACAATCCCTCTTTATTCCTCTGTTTCTTCCTTTCTTTTTCTCTCTGCTGAAGTCTGTCTACGACCCAAATGCTCAGCCCTAGCTTGGACGTGACTCAAAATCACCCCCAGTTACCTCCTCCCTCCTACCTCCCTGCAGCAGCACCACTAGCCCGGTGGTTAATGAAAAAGTCACGGTCCTTGCTGTAAGTGGCTGAGCGGCGCCTCATGTCCGAGGCCTCGGCTGCAGCGCGGTGACGTCCCAGCCTATCAGCCAGAGGCCTGTAAGTGGCAACTTTGAGCCGTTCTGGAGTCTTTTCTCACCTCCTGTTCTTGAAACTGTTTTTTTACTCTCCTGTGTTTCCGTCACCTCACCTGTGCTTGTTTAGAACATGCTGAATGCAAACAAAGATGTTTGTTGCATTGTCGAACCATTGAGAGAGAGAAAACAAGTGCCGGCGAGTGGAGCAGGAAGTCTTGCACAGAAGTCTTTATAGCCGCAGCTGTTTAATGAGAAATGACTTGATGTGGAATCCTGCTTCCTCCACCTGCTCTGTGTATCCCGTCCCCTTCTTTTACTTCCTTCCTCTTCTTCCCTCCCACCTTTAAAGCTTCACTAACATGCTGAAGAACAAGCAGCCCACAGCAGTAAGCATTCGAGCCACCATGCAACAGCAGCATTTGGCTAGCGCCCGCAATCGCCGGCTGGCCCAGCAGATGGAGAACCGTCCGTCAGTGCAAGCTGCTCTGAATCACAAACAGGTAAGGTCAAACATCGGGTAACAGCGGGGGTTATAGGCTTAGACTAGGGGGTCTGCAACCAGTGGCTCTGGGGCCACATGCTGCTCTGATGTTGCTGTCACTCAAAGCAGCAGGAGTCACAGAATGAGTTTACCTCTTATGTCCAACAGATCAAACACAAGTCAAACAAGTTTCCTCGTCTGCAGCGTGAGCTCATGGGTTGAAGTAAAAAAATCACAGAAACTTTAAATGTGAAAGGAGTCCCACCACTATTTGCTTGACTTAAGAAACCCACAACTGGTTGGTTTGTGAAGACACCTGTCAGGACTACTCATAGACTTGAATAAGATCACTAGACTGAGCCCCGCCCATCCTGTCCACTGGTAGTGTCTGTGACAGACTGGAGGAGCAGAAACAGACCAAACAGGTCAACAGCTCACAGCAAACATAGAAACTAATAAACAACAAGCTGGACTGGATCTGTTTCACAGATTATCTGTCATGTTTTTACAATAAATTAATA